AAAAAAAAAATATTAAAATAATGTGGTGTCCAGTAGCGTACTAATAATCGCCCAAGTTAAGGATGGTAAATTACATTATCTGCCAAAAAAAAAATTATATGAACAACGTTAATGCTTCTTTAAGTTGATTTAAAACAAAACACAAAAAGTGTTCCTATAGGTTTTTTACGTTATTTTTAGGATAACGTCGTAGAACAAGGACTGACAATGTTGTCAATGCCTTTTTTTTTCCTTATAATTTACCAGAATGTAATAATAAATTATCAAGACCACTGACAGCTAGAAATAACAAAATGAATCGACACGTGATATTTATTTGAAAATGTTTATTCAAATCATACAACGTCGCGCGCCGTTGTCAACCGGTAACATCTGAAATTCCCCTACTTTAAATGCGTTAAGAAGTACTTTCAGTTTAGTTAGGTAGATACCTAGGTAAAACGTATCAAAATAAGTGAACTAAAAAACTAATCAAACTAAGATTCAATAACAACAAAGTGACCTAAAAGTTGAGTAATAAACAACGTAAACTAAAAAAATTAATAAAGAACGGCAGATAATCAAAGTTATAGTTAGTAAGCCTTCTCCTCACATTCACAACCTCTTGGCATCGCCGGCCGTGGCATGTTGTCAACCAAGAGGTTAATGAATGCCTGAGGGATATTTTGCCACTCTTCTTCTATGGCAAGTGCGAACTCATCCAGCGTTTGGGAGCATTTTCGCGCAATCGTACCAGTAACTTAAGCTCAAACCACACAAGATCAGGAGATTTTGGAGGCAGGTGTAACTGTTGCATGTTATGATCCCCCAAAAGCTCCTAAACAATTCTTGCTTTGTGTGGTCTCGCATTATCGTCAACCATGATGAAATGCTCCTCAATATTTTCTGCATATGGAATAACAATGTCATTTATTATGTGATTTCGATAAATTACGGCGTTAACAGTACCCCGTGAAATGTATAAGTCGGATCTATCGTTGTACATCACTCCGGCCCACACATTAAACCCTCCTCCTCCAAAGGTTTTCTGAGAAGCCATGTTGTCTTCTTCAAATTGCTCCGCAGGTTGCCTCCATACTAACACTCTACCATCGGAGTGTATCAGGTTCAAGTAAATAACACGTCTAGATTCATTTTGTTATTTCTAGCTGTCAGTGGTTTTGATAATTTTTTATTACATTCTGGTAAATTATAAGGAAAAAAATAGGCATTGACAACATTGTCAGTCCTTGTTCTACGACGTCATCCTAAACATAACGTAAAAAACCTATAGAAACACTTTTTGTGTTTTGTTTTGAATCAACTTAAAGAAGCATTAACGTTGTTCATATAATTTTTTGTTTGGCAGATAATGTAATTTACCATCCTTAACTTTATTTTGTGATACTGCTACCATTAGTGGAAGAATGTTTAATTGAAATACCTTTAAACATGAAGCTACAAAGAAGATTAGCAGGTAATATAAATATTCGGGTTTCCTCTCACCACAACGAAATCGGTTCCGAATATTTAAATTTTATCAGTGGTATAAATAATTATTAGCACGCCACTGTATAGCATATCATTGGGGTAGGTATTCGAAATTTTTAATCATAAAAATATGCTAATCGAAAGATATAACAATTGCTAATAAAATTGATTTAATGAAAAATAATAATTTCTCTTTGCACGCCAATGTAGGGGAGACCGGGGCTGGTTGACGCAATTTTTAAATTTTTGCGAGTGAAACCTAAACTAAGTCACATAGACTTGCGATTCAACTTTAATCGGAAAGCCCAATGCTTTGTTTATCAAAAACTGACAAAAAAAAAAACTAAACTTACTAGTTTGGACAGAATAAATTTTTGAAAAATGGTTGTCAGTGTGCGCCAACCAACCCCATCCCGGGGTTGGTTAACGCAGTACCCGGGTTTGGTTGACGCATTAAAAAAAGTAGGTATTTTTATACCTAATATGAACGAAAAATAAAACATGTATTTATTTAAAGCTTTGAAACAAGATACAAATGAAATAATACAAAAATATTGGTATTCTAGCAATAAAAAACAGAAATCAAAACTCTCCCAAACCTATGTGCCCACATTGTCCAAAAAAATGAGCTGCCAATCCTATAACCTAGTCGCTATCGCAATTTAAGCAAACAAAATACACACCGGGATTGTCGGCACAGGCCTCGTGTGCCCACGTTCTGCAGCTTGTGCATTGAATCCATTTTTCCGAGGAGGTGGAATTTTTGTATGTGTCCATACAGTAGAGACAGAAGCAATCCTCTTCCTCTGAATCACTACCCTTATTTTTGCAAACTTTTTTATTTGTTACAGTTTTCTTTGCAAAACTCTTTTTATTTCCGCAAATATTTCTCTTCACTGATTTCACGTTTTTTTGTTCCTCTTCGAGGGCATTTTTAATTGGTGTATCAGTTAGTATAGCAGTTTGGCGCTTTCTTTTATTTTGATTAGGTGCCTGCTTTCTTGGTCCAGCTTTTGGAAGCGGTTTTAATTTGAAAGGAGTAGGAACAGGAGGCGAGTTTTCATTATTTTCTTGAGCAGACCTTCTTGAAGTGTCTGCCTGCCTTGAGCAACCCGCTACAATAGAATTAGTTGAATCTGAGCGTGCCTGATTTTCAGAAGGTGTTGTGGAACATCCGGGCAGATTTTCCAAAATGGAACTAGCTGGCTTTGCTGCTTCAGGTTCATTGTTAGATGGTGGGCTCGCGCGACCTTCGATATAAATATTTTCTTCGCGATTTTCTTCCATTGTTGCAGCGACAGGGCGGTCGGTGGCATATGCCGGCAAAAACTCATCATCCTCGAAAATGTCTCTATTAAATGGGGAAATACCGGAAACCTTAAATCCGGCTATGATATTTTTCGGAGTTGTTGCTAAAGGCAAAGCTTCTCGCACAATTTGTGGGATATCATATATGGTCATTGTGCGACCAGGATTATTGGTTATCCAAGAGTCGCTGGCTGAATTTATGTATTTTTTGAACGGGCCATAAACAGACCGATCTAATGGCTGTAGTTTGTGAGAGCAATGTGCAGGGAACGATAATGCAGTAACTCCATTCGATTTTAGATAATCCAAGGCAGCTATTGACAAATGAGAGTCGTGATTATCGAGCAGCAATAGCACTGGTCTCTCAGGAGAACATCCAACATGTTTTACAAAGTGTTTGCAAAAGTCTAAAAAGTGTTCTCTCTTCATCCATCCTGAAGGGTTCGCTGCTCCAGTGGATCCAGGAGGGGCGTTGGATAAAAAGTGCTCCTTGAAATGTACCCTTGGGAAGATGAAAAAAGGGGGGATACTGTTTCCTGTTGCTGACACTGCTAGAGCCATTGTTACCAAAGTCCCACGTTCTTGGGATGTTATACGACCCACCTGCTTAAATCCACGTCTGGCAATTATTCTGTTGGGTTTTTGCACAGTGGTGACACCGGTTTCATCCATGTTGAAAATTTGGGATGGTTCCAATTTAAGGCAGTTCATAACGACTTGTAAATTGTTGAAAAATTTGGCAACATTTTCCTTGTTAAAACTGGATGCGCGTGCTAGGCTAGTTGCTTCTGGTGTTCGGATCGATAAAGTATTATGTCTCTTCATATACGAGCTAAACCAGTCTTCACCAGCTATCTGGTTGTCATTCCATGTTTGCGGAACATCAATTTCTAACGCCATCGCGTACTCAAAAGCAAGTTTCCTCACTTCTTTGACTGAGAGTCCGAAATATATGTCGCTTGATGCTTTCAAATACTCTTCTAAAAGTTTTTCTTGCTCGTCGGTGAATATCTGAAAAAAAATATAGGTATATGTAATAAAATACCTAATAAGTAGTTGAAATAGTCTCCATTTTAATTAAGATACTACCTACCTGGCGGTTCCGAAAGTATCCCACGTTCGTTGTTGGTTCAGGAGCATTTCCTGTAATCTCCTCGTGAGTGAATTTCTTGCAAAAACGCCGTAACGTTGCCTCTGGTATATCAAAATCTCTCGCTGTTCCTCTTATAGATTTGTTATTTAACTTAATTTCCCTGACTGCCCTTAGCATGACATCCGGCGGAGTATTACCCTTACCGGATTTTCTTTTAAAGTTTCGCATTATTCTAAAATGAATTAAAATATGATCAAACAAAATATCATTGAAAATAGGCAAGCTTGAAACCGGGGTTGCTTGACGCATGCACCAACCAACCCCGACAAGGCTGCGTCAACCAACCCCAGAGCACGTTTTTGTGTTTGTTTATAACCTAAACGAAAACTATCCAACTTTCAAAAGATCTAACTAACTAGTTTTGTAGAAGAAGCTTTGAGCTTCATGACACTAAAAAAATTATTGAAATATCTCTAAAAATATAGTTTTTATGTGAAATTATCTAAGGTTATAAAAATTTACTTACAACAGCAAAAAACCGATTATCTGTAATGCACTCCCCACAAATGACAGAAACGAACTAAAAACAACGTACACGAATCCGCGCCGACCACGTGCCTAGAACAGAGCAGCTTACATTGTTGCCAGGTCATTTCGTTTAATGATAGTTGAGATGCGTCAACCAACCCGGGGCGTCAACCAGCCCCGGTCTCCCCTACAGCATATCATTGAGGTATTCGATATTTTTATTCATAGTAAATATGCTGGCTGAAAGGTATCACAATTGAGGCCCCTAGAATAAAAGGGGTATAAGTACAATATTTAACATTTTGAGATAATTGCATTCAAGGTTAATTGAATTTTAAAAAGTCGCTAAAAAAGCTAGAAAATAGTTTTATCTTGGTCTATATGTTGCATTGGTAATTCTGTCTGGGATTTCAGTTATTTTTTTGAAATTTCATATAATTTTCAAATTTTTTTAGAAATTGTACTTATACCCATTTTATTCTAAACTTTATTGTGTTCTAAAGTACAAAAATTTGCAACTAAATTTGATTTAAAAGGCTCTTTATTCAACTTGAAACTCAAAAAACAGGTTATAGCCTAAAAATATTTATAAAACGAACCACTATTCATCATCTGAATATAAAAAGTCGCCATCTTCGGGAACATCGTCATCCTCTTCTTCTTCAGTTTCCTCTGGTGACTGTACTTTTGGTTTCTTTGCTGATTTTTTATTTTTACCTTTTCCAATAGCCTGCTTACTAGTTGAACTACTTTTTTTTCCTAAATTTTTAGCGTTGCCTTTTCCTTCATATTGAATATTGTTATAAAACTCGTGGTATATTGGGGGAATAAAATCAAGTAAGGATTGTAAGTTCTTCCATTTCGCTTCTTTTATTTTTAAACCACATTCGTTCAGCACGGAAAATGCATTTTGAAAGCTTAAACTTGGCCTTCCTGTTGTTTTGTAGGGGCACATGCATGTATAAAAAGGCATTATTTTATCCAATGTTGGTTTATGCTGAAACGAAAATGACTGTGCTGCTTTTGAATAAAAGAAGTACTGAATTTCCCTCCATTTGATAACATGGTTATCAGTATTTTTTTTAGGGTCACTTATGATCTGGTTCAATTGAGCGAAACTATAAAAGTTTTCCCTTTTCATCTCATGGACAGTAAACTTCTTAGAGGATTCTTGAATCACGGTCCTCCAGTGTTCTGGGATAAAAATTTGCGGAATTTTCCGTTTAACTTTCTCAATAATACCAAAATCCTGGTCACACTCCATAAACGTGTGACCTGGCTCCAAAAATTTGTGATGAATTTCTTGAATTTTTGTAGATTTTAATAGGAACATAAATAGTTTTGCTATATTTTTATTTTTATTTTGCCCACCGCAGGAATCACTATAAGCTATTATCCTAGTGATATTATCAGGTAAAACTTCATTAATGAAATGAATCAAACATGAGCCAATTTCTTGTGATCCTCTGGATGCAACTGTCTCGTTCCATATATACATGTGCGATTTGCCGGTTACCAGATTATGAATGCAGAAATTATAGGTCCATAGTTGCCTGAGGTAAAATACTTTCGATGTTGTAATGAGTGGGGTAGGTAGAGCTTGCTGAAGATCAAAGCATATCACACATGTATCAGCAGAATCTTTATTATCTAGAACATCTGACTTTTTAGTGGCCAGTGCCTTCTCTGCTTTTTTATGATGGACTTTATTTGTGCCTCCTTGATCTTAGTTTCATCTTGAGAATGTTTAATAATATTTGAATAGGTATCACACTTACTGCACGTGTCAGAGTTAGGGCGGTGAAATCTGAGATTAAACTGTGTATTAAATATATATCTGTAATAAGACTCTTTCACAGGCGTAGCATTTTTTTCTATGCAATATTCCTTGTACAAACTAAACATTTTTTTTACATTCAACTCTGGTGACAGATATCGGGTATTTAAATTTGATTTTCTGGAATAGTGAGATATGTATTTAGGGAACATATGTATGTGTTCCATAACTAATTTTCGCTGTGCAGGTTCCATTTTCCTACCAGGGCCAGTACCTCTCTGGTCCTTGGCGCATATACCAACAGTATCTGTCTTTGCACAAACCGTTGTAAATCTTTTGTTGCTTATGTCAAGTGTTTTGAGAAAAAACATCTTACAGACTCGCTTATTAAGAAGAAATATTTCTGTACTAAACTGTTTGTTAGTAGTAGCGTTATTTCTCTTTCTCTGAACGCCTTTTTTCTTTATGCAAGAAGAAACAAAAGAATTTTGAAGATCGTAGTTGGCCAAAGCATAAAACCTTTGAAATATTTCTCTCCTTTCTTCTGCGGAAATACTTTGGCTACACTTGTATCTGCAAGTATGTTCATAAGGCTTAACACTACGCTGGGTATGTGGCTCATTCTTACGGCCAATGTATGCTTTTCCTAAATTTCTCAGCAGCTTCTTTTGGTTGATTTTCCAGGCAGTTTCATTGCGCTTCCTTTTTCTGGTTTTCAATTTTATTTCTGGAGCAGCATCATTAGGTCCATCCACATCATCACTGGACTTATCACTATCAGGTCCATCTACATCATCATTCGGAGTATCACTTTCAGGTATGTAATCACTTTCTTCATCGGTGGCATATGGATCGGAAAGTTCGTCTGAAATAAAAAACAAAACCCCTTATTTTTTTACAGAATAATCTAATCTACAACATTCAACGGGTAAATTTTGATTTCCCCAAAGTTTATTAGCGGCGATTTTAAAATATGGTCAAATTGTTCACTAACCTAACCTTGCTTACCTTCTGAAATTTCGATTTCCATGCTTTCCCATGTAATTTAGAAAGACAGCAGTGAATCTTTATGCACTTCAACGTTAACTTAAGTAAATATAATATAATAACGACAGGTAACCACAAAAAAAACACTTAAAAACACAAACACCGAGCTCCAGAAACCTTGTTGTCAGTTTAATAACAATACAAAGGTTGGAATAAAATGGGTACAAGTGCACTTGCATCCGTTTTATTGTGAGCAAATTTCTGCTTTCAGATACATGATATTTCTACTCGCTAATAGATGGCGCACAAAGCCTAAAAATCACTTGTATCTCTTCAACACCAAACAAATATGAACTTTAGGTATCGATCCCTGCACTTATCTCAGATTTGTTTAAAAGTGTACTTATACCCCTTTTATTCTAAGGCCCTCAATTGCTAAATAATTCACCGGTAAGAACCATTCAGGATGGTTTAGAACGGAAAAATCGAAAAAATTATTATGGTTATGTTAAATAAACGATATTTTAAAACCAAAGGCAAATATCAAACTTTTGAGAAATTGGTTTCTTAATAATATGTCAATGATTAACGTGAACTAAACAAATGAAACTTCAGATGATTATTTTAAAATTATGCACCTTTGAATGTAAAAATCGGTGAGCCATTAATAAATTATTCCGAAAATGGGCGATTATTAGTACGCTACTGGACACCACATTATTTAAGTAATTTTTTTTCATTGAAAATAAACCAGGATATCGTGGGGTATATCAAACAGCAGCATAAGATGCAAGATTTATTGTACAGGATGGTTTAGGTGCTTAAAAGTTGAAAAAAGTGGAGGTTATGAAAAAAAGTCGATATTTTTAAAACTAAGGCTGGTATAAAAAATTTGAGAAATTACTTTTTTTGCAGAAGATCATTGATTAAAACGCCGCAAAGAAATAAAATTTAAAAAAATTTCTGAGAAATGAAAATCATGGACTCTTTTAACACCCTGTATAAAAAAAAGTAGACATTTAAAAAAAATTCAAAATAGCAGTTTTTTTCACAAAAAGTCAATCTGTCAGCCCGTGAAAACCGCAGGTCGATATCTAGTCTGGTTCCAAAAATATCGAGCTTGAAAGTTAGGCGATATTTACCTTGTTCGAAAGCAATTGTGCAGCAGTTTAGTAGTTTCTTGAATTAATTCAAAAGACGTCTATGTGAGGGGATGTAAGATCTATTAAGGTTCACTTGAGTGTTGAGACAAGAGAAGTTATCCTGAAGCTCGTTTCAGATTTCTGATGTCCTCCATAAAATCCAAACGGTTGAAGTTTCTGGAGTGAATTTCGTGAAGAATTTTTGAATTTGATTTGGGGCTAAAATTATGTTTAGTTGTCCTAATGTGTTCACCAAAGGCAGAGGTAGTTTTTGTAAGATGTTCCTGTATTCCGAGTCTTGAGAGGTCTGCAAGTTCGCCCAATATAAGTGCAATTGCAGGAGTTGCAGTTTAATTGATATATTCCACTCTTGGAAAGGTGATCAATTTTGTCTTTGGAAAGGAAGACAAATATTTTTGGATTTAAAAGAGATTCTAATGGTATTGACATTTTGGTGAAGGACCTGTAGAATTTTCAAATTCAAATCATGATTTAAGTAAGGAATAGCAATGTATCTTTCAATTGGCTGATTAAGGGTAGGAAACAACTCTTTCTTCAATCTTTTATATTTAGTTTCCGTTATGAGTGTGTCAATTAAGTTTGGGTCGTATTCGTTATTGTATGCCAGAATCTTCAGAAAGTGTTTTTCCTTATTTTCAGGTTGCACTGATGATGGCCACGGCCGAAAGCGCTTTGCACTGATATTTATTAAAGAATTTTGCACGAAATACAAAAAAAAATTCATTCTTAATTTGCTCAACGTGCACACAGGTCTACACCCTCTATTATATGCTTTTTGGTTAATTTAGTACCTGCATGCAATGCAAGTAGAGGGATTTATAAACCATGGTGCAAATTTTTCTGAAAAATAGTCAAAATTTGCCCCAAAATGATTACGCATCGTTAAATTTACAGGTGCACCATCAAAAGTAATGGAATATATTACGCACCTCTATGGTTAATTAGTTCCAGGGCTTGTCTCAATAGATTGGCTCTTTCAGTTCCATTTAGGCCATCTATTAAAAAATACCCTATTGGAATTTTCCAATGGACATTAATGCCCACTGCCATCATGACTAGTGCACTCGAGGCTTGTTTCGCAATGTCAACATCATTGTTGACTATTCCTGTACCAAGACCAACTGTCCATAAAACTTGTCGTTTTTAAACGTCATATTTTTTTAAATTGACATTTCGTCTAAAACTGAGTTAAAAAAAAGATTCTTTAGTAAACCCTGGATATCCATTTACCACAGTGCACCAATCCTTTAAAGTACTAGGGTGTGGCAATAAATATTTCCAAACTTTACGCACATAATTATATCCTGCAGTCGAATAAAATTGAAGAGTAAAAGCAAATTTTCGAAGCTCTGGGGAATATTTGTGTTTGCCTTTCTTCTCCTTTCTATCTATCAAAAGGTTTATGATTTCTGGAAGACCTTCCTAAAAGTCTTACCGCCATATTATCTCGAAAGTTTTCAGAAATTAGATTTTTATTTTGACGGCGGCTCAGCAAATTTTTCAAAGTATGGACTTTATGCAAGAGTCGTCTATTTGCTTGTTTACCTACCTTAATATGTGATGCCAGCCGATTAATTTTTGCTTTGGCTAAAATCAAGCATCTTCTTGCTCTGCGTGGTGAGCTAACATCTGGTGATTTAACATCACCCACATATCTAGGTGCTGCATATCTTCTTCTCTTAGGTTCTTGTTCTCCTTTTATTAATTAGTTCAGTAAATAATATAACTTTGATACCAAATTTTACTATAATAATGTTGTTTACACAACAAACAATATTCTAGGATACAGCAAAAGTATAATTTTCTCACCTGACATTGTAATATTACTTGAAAACTCACCAAGTTCACAAACTAGCAACAACCATATGAAAGTCCAATGTAAACACAATGATAAAATGACGAAAAATATTATTTTTTTTGCGCCAAACAGAAATACCGGCTATTAATACGTCATTTGAGGTAAGTGGTAAGTACACGCCGACTGGTGTCGCAATAAAACCGGCAGGAGTCTCGATAAAAATTATTTTGTATGTGGTTTCGCCGTGAAACCAGTGGGCAACAAATGGTTACGTAATTCTTTTACTAACAATGAATGAGCCCAAATAAGTTTTTTTGCCTAACCGAAGGTAGCATTTCTGAATATTTTTATCTTATGGCTGGGCCAATGTGTATTGAAGGAATCATTTTTTCTTACAGCCAAATAAACCTTTGGCGGTGGGTACGATGGCCAATAACATTAGCGATCATGTTTCCATGATGACGGCACTGCTTCATCAGTAGCATCATCTAAAAATTGGACGACAGTCCAGGTAGGCTTCTGATCTCCCATTACTGTGAATTAAATAAAGATTTGGACAACATAAAAAGTTTATAGTTTAAAGTATAGTAACATTTTCTTGGTTATACCCCTCTAATAATGAATCGTCAGGCTAAAAGCATTGTATGTTCTTATGTGTATAAACTTTAATTTTTTTTAACAATGTAGAAGTGGCCTAATGATAATATCTCCCTTATATTTCAATCTGATACATTTTGTAGTCTATTTGAATGCTAAAAGACTACTCAAGCAACTTTCCTGCGTTGTGAATATATTTAGTTCTAAAAAATCACAGGGGTGATTGTAACAAGATGTCTAGGTTGAATATGTTTTTTCCTATTACAATAAATGATTTGTTCAATATAATTATATTACTTATTACTAATATATCCTTATTTCTTGAGCAGCAACAGTTATTGGGAGGATTTATTTTTAGAGTAAATTTGAAAATACAATAGTTTTGAATTGTTCAAAGTTATCATAAGTTAAAGTGGGCCCTTCCCTGTGCAAATCTTTGAATTCTGGATAAATCAAATTTTTGTTATTCTGGGTCAATTTTTTCAGAATATCTTTTAATAATCTGTTGCAATGGTTTTTCGCTTTCGCGAACTTATTCAAGAATACTTTGTAAAAAAAAATTCAAAATGAATTGCGCTAAACTGATCCACAGGTGCATGATTACGTACATCATCTGACAGATATAATAAATTATGTACATTATGTGAAGTATGTTCTGTGCCATATATAATTGGAAAGTTTTGTACAAAGTATTTTAACAATTCTACTACATAATGCAGTAGATGACTGTGTCTTGAAGATGATAGTATTGTCATTGCTTTATGTAATGTTAAAAAATTGACATATCTGTCTTGACTTAACTGGTTTTCTAGGACCAACACACCAGTGTAAAATAGGATTTGACGAAATTCAGTTGCTTTCCATCTCTTCAACTCTGATAAAGATCTCGGCTATTAAATTCTAATGGAATAGATGAAGTCAAGTTTATCAATGATTCCGAGGTTATTGATATTTTTATAAATGAAATTTTTGTTACAGGATTTCCATTGCACAATAAGTTTAATATTTCCTTTGTTACACCAAGACAAACTAAATGCATATAATCCAAGGGAAAGTCAACTATCAAATTGAAATCAGGTATTCAATTTTTAAATTGTCTTTTCCTAATAATGCTGGTCTTCTTCACCTTGCTGTCGAAATTGAAAATCTGTTCCTAAGCGCAAATTGTTGATTTCTTGAAAGTAAATTCTATCTCTGTATATTGTATGTGGCATTTACTACTAATAATATTTATGGAATCATCAACAAAATCTCTTAAAAACTGATTTGGATCTGATGTAGGCTTTTCATTACCATGATAAATCCCAACCATGCTTACAATATTTGTGCCAACTATTGATAATAAAATTGGGTATACTTTGCTACTGGAACTTTTTGATAATGGCAATCCATCAATATTAACATTTTAGTCGATGTTATTTTTATGGAAATTACTTCCCACAGTAGAAATTATATTCATAATTATTGCTTGATTTAAACCAAAATGATAATAATGACCTGGAGGTACAACTCTCAATTCTACATTCGGATGGTTTAAAATAATGTTCGAGTATCTAAAGACAGAGGAACATTACCCGAATCTTTAATAATTTTAAGCAAGTCATTTGTTACCACATTAGGAATATTATACTTTACTCCCCAGATAGCCAGCCTATCAGCCAGTGAACTGTCTATTTTATCTGTATTGGTTTTTTGTAAATCATAATCCAAAATATCATTCTGGGTTTCGTTTTCACTTCCACTATCCCATGATAAGTGATGGTCAGGTGTGATGTCAGAACCTCGGGTTAGAGTTTTCCTCAGAGTTTTCATTCAACTCGGGTCTTTCAATAATTTGACAACAAGGTGAATGATATGAAGTCTAAAGTAGGTAGCACTTACTTTGAATGTCCATATTAAATCGCTCTAGCACCTATTACTATTGAATAATAATTGAGAAGTAGGTAGAGACAGTCATGAAGTTTAAATACAGTGTTTTGATGTAAGCGTTTTTCTGTGGAGTAAAACCTTCTAAGTGCACTATCAAATGAGTTGCCTAGCTGACTTATATTCTTCTTGAGTGGCAAGTTTACAATGAAGCTACCAGCTTAATTGCGAATCATGGTTTGGTTGAAATGGGCTTCACATTCGTCTTTCTCTTGGGTGTTAAATGATTTTACTGGATATTCTTCAACCTTCCAGATTTTTTCTAGTTGATTATTTAAGACAATTTTGTCAAAGGTGGAATCATCATCCAAAGAAACATTGCAACCAGAAAAACTGGAATTGATTATTGGCAATGAACCTGAGACTATCAATCCCAATTTGTTTTTTTGCAAAATGGTTTAATTATTGGACAGAGTCAATTGTCCACACAAATGAGATTCCAGAAAATGGATGCACCAAGAAGCATGTCCACCTTGTTAGTTTGATGAAGTTCTTATCGACAAGCACAATGTTCTTGGGGATTTGTAGTGATTCTTTGTCAAAAGAAAATCCGGCCAATTGTTTTGTGATTTTCTCGGTTAGCAAACAAGGAATCTTTTCAATGCAAAACGAATTAATGGTAGATTGTATTTTAACATAGGTATCTTCTATTGAACATTATTTCCAATCTGTTGGGATATGTTTAAAGTTGGCAGTTTTAGCTTTTCGTGTAACTCCTTAGTCACAAAATTAGACTGTAAGCAGTTCTCAAGAAGCACACGGCAATTATGAGGTTTTTTATTGATGTCGTAGACCCAAACAGTCGCGGTCGACAGAAGGAGATCGATTCTTGTGCTGGCTGACTGTGAATGGATTGTGTGATTGAGAGCGATCGTGAGCTGTTTTGTGCATTTGGCGTAATTTCTTGAGGAATAGGACCATTATTCTCAAAAGATTTGTGTTGCTAGTTTTCGTAATTGTTTGTGATTGAGGTTCAGGAGGAATGATTTTACTTACTATCTGTTTGCAAATTTCCAGTTGGATTTATTTTTACCAGAGGGTCCTAAAAAAGATAGAAATGTTGATATTATTCTATACTGATACATGCTCAAATTACTTACATAAAGTTGGATGTGGTGGCAGTTGACTGGGCATGATACCAGCATTATCATCGTCAGTACCATCACTGTCTGGACTGATGATTTGTTTTTTTTTTTAATTATTCTCCTTTTTTTTTGAGACTTCATAATTTTCTGTGGTAGTTCCCAAGACACTTGTATCTTCAGCTGATTTAGCTAGCGACGAGCTTTCGAATATGATTCTAAATATAAGTTAAATAAATCGTTTGAAAACTATCTTATTTAAATTTAACTTCCACAATAGAAAACTGCTAAGAAAAAAAACAACAAAAAAAAGAAACACTAGAAAGCCATTACAAAAAAGAAGAAGGTATGCAAAATAATATAGTATTATACCTTAAGTAGTATTCCTGAAGATGTGCACTTTATAAACAGGTCAATGTGGATCCGAATTTGTTTGGTTTTTAATCGCTGAATGTATATTATGAGGAGGAAATGGGGGCCAGACACACTCTTTATTATTTATCCATTTTGTAGGAACTGCGGCCACTGAATTGTCTTCGGCAAATTTCACAATTGTCCATGTTGACATTTTCGCTCTATTTTGAAATGTGAAATTTGTTCATTTATACAATTTTACAGAAATAAAATCAGTAAAATTTATCAAAAAAAAAAAAAAATAGGGAATGGTTTGGCCTAGTGATATTATTAGCGTTTATTCCGAAATTCAATCAACGATTTTTTCAAATTTCCCATGAAAAAATTAGAAGTACAAGTGGTATTCAAATTCAAAATTCAAAATTTTACTAATGCAATTAAAGCCAGGGTTGGAATTCAGTAGTATTCCTGAAGATGTGCACTTTATAAACAGGTCAATGTGGATCCGAATTTGTTTGGTTTTTAATCGCTGAATGTATATTATGAGGAGGAAATGGGGGCCAGACACACTCTTTATTATTTATCCATTTTGTAGGAACTGCGGCCACTGAATTGTCTTCGGCAAATTTCACAATTGTCCATGTTGACATTTTCGCTCTATTTTGAAATGTGAAATTTGTTCATTTATACAATTTTACAGAAATAAAATCAATAAAATTTATCAAAAAAAAAAAAAAAAAATAGGGAATGGTTGGGCCTAGTGATATTATTAGCGTTTATTCCGAAATTCAATCAACGATTTTTTCAAATTTCCCATGAAAAAATTAGAAGTACAAGTGGTATTCAAATTCAAAATTTTACTAATGCAATTAAAGCCAGGGTTGGAATAAGTTATAGCTTTTATAAAAAAAGTCAAAAAATCCGACTTTTTGAATTAATTCGGAGTTTTTTCAATCAATTTAAAAAAATCAAATTTTATTTACCTCGACAAAAAACAAAAAACACAACTAAAAAATAAAAAATGTTCCATTTTCTTCGAAAATCTCAAAGCATAACATAGCAAAAGATGCAATTTCTGTAAAAGAAACTGAAACCATTGATTGATTAAATGATAAATAGGTACATATGCAGCATGCAGGTTTATTACTTATTAAGAATCTTCATTAGACAAGTTAGTTTTCCGGCTTTTAAACTCCTAGTCGGTTGCGTAGATCCAATGTACCAATCCGAAGGATGAGAATATTTTTTCCACACCTGCGGATGAAGCTACTGCTGTCATAAGTTGTTTAATGCAACTTTGCGCTACATGATCTATTTCTGTTAGTGAAAATATTGACATCCACCACTAAATGTCTTGCATCAGAACCTGAATATAATGGAATCGTAACAATAGCGATAACAGGTTTGGAAACTCTGCACCTGTAGATTCCAGAGCTATTTGCTTTTTCTCTTCGGTTAAACTTATATTTTCCTTGATATTTGTTGGACTAAGCATGTGCGCAATAAAGTGGTACCTATGAACAGCTTGTGTATACCTGGAAATAACCTTTTTTTTTCGCAGTGCTGTCTAGATCCTTATTTAAATTGTTTATTAAATTTATCCAAATAACAACAGACCTATGAATGTGCAATTCTCTTTTCGCATTAAATCCAGTCCGCACGATATATTCCTACAACAGACGCTACTAATTACGCTGTTGGAGCTATCTTATCTCAAGGAAAAATTGGTGGTTTTACCTATTTCATACGCATCAAGAACTCTTAATAAAGCCGAATGCAACTACTCAGTTGTTGAAAAAGAACTTCTCGCTATTGTTTGGGCAGTAAAACATTTTCGTCCATACCTCTATGGTAGAAAATTTGTTATTTACACAGATCATCGCCCTCTAACTTGGCTTCTCAATTCCAAAGATGCCAGTAGTCGACTTGTTCGATGGCGTTTAAAAATAGAGGAATACTCTTACGAGATAAAATACAAACCTAGAAAAGTAAACTAAAATGTCGATGCTTTATCCAGTACCCCGGAACCTATAATGACAATAGAATTGGAAAAATCTTGTTCGAAAAAATCGAATCATTTCCGGACTTCACAAAATTTCATTATCAAAACCAAAAAGTTCCAAATATCGAAATAATCGAGAAAAATATATTTCAGAAATTCCCTAATGCAATTTTCTGTTCGAAAGGATCTCGACGATAATAATCCCTGCTCCGAAAACCTGTCTTTAAATTATGAACTAGCGAAAATTGATCTAAACGAAATAAATCTTTATGATTCGATAAACATGAAAAAGTGATAACAAATATACATTCTTATTAATTTCCAAATTAAATCACTTTGATAAGTTAACTTACAATGATCTTTTCTACTTTTTACAAAGTTTAAAAACGGATCTAAAGGAAAATAAGATTATTTCTCATGTATTTCTGAAAACCCCTTGCGAAAATAATATTCACATTAAACAAGACGTTTTTAACGATACCTAGGATATTTATTCACCAAGCATAAAATTTCAATCACTTTAGTAAATCGTCCAAGATTTCAACCACAAACCCGTGGCGGAATCCAACAAATCTTTAAAGAAAATCATAATTCAGCGGTCTCAGGTCACGCAGGTTTTCTTCGTACTTATCGAAAAATGAAGGAAAATTATAAATGGCCTAATATGAAAAGCGACATTAAAAGCCTAATTAACCTGAAGCTCCTATGGAGATAACAACAACCAGCGAATGTCCATGTCAAAGACTTGCTATTGACATTGTAGGACCCTTACTCATAATAGAAAAGGGTAACAGATTTATAATCACTATGCAAGATGATTTAACTAAGTTCTTCTATGCTACGCCCATTCCAAATCATGAAGCCAAAACTGTAGGCGAAAAGTTGTTGCAATTTATCTCTCTTTTCGGTATTCTAGAAACCATCCTATCAGATCAAGGCACTGATTTTACTTCTAATATTATCATTAAAGACTTGAACAAACCTTTTAAGATCAAACATATACTTTCTAGCCATACCTTTTATCCATAACTATTATTCATTTTTATTTTGTATTTCATTATGTTTATTTTTAACTATAAGATTTTAGAAATTTAATCATTACCTTCTACTTCATGTTTTTATTACACAATTCTAACGCAAAAAAAAAACGCACATTTATGAAATTTAAAACTTTATCCAACACATGACAGTTATGACTATTATTATTAATGTCATTTTAGACAAGTAAACTATCAAATAACACACTAGTGTGTTATAATCCATAACTCACTAGTGAGTTATGGATTATAACTCACTAGTGAGTTATGGTTTATAACTCACGTTCATATTTAAAGTAGTATTCTATTTATTTATTACTATTACAATTACAATTAAAGGAAAACGTTAACGGTTTATTCGAATTTGAAGACATTGTAAAATTCGTTGGTTCATTGGAACCAGACGCTCCC